GGGCGCCGGGGCTGCCCCCCCCACTACGACGACATCGAGGCCTTCGTGCTGCAGCTGGAGGGGAAGAAGCACTGGCGCGTCTACAGCCCCCGGACGGACGCCGAGGTGCTGCCCCAGTTCTCCAGCGCAAACCTCGCGCAGGCTGAGCTCGGCGAGCCCGTGCTGGAGACAGTGCTGGAGGCCGGGGACCTGCTGTACTTCCCCCGTGGCTTTATCCACCAGGGCGACTGTCTCCCTGATGCGCACTCGCTCCACATCACTGTGTCTTCCTACCAGAGGAACTCCTGGGGGGCCCTCCTGGAGAAGCTCCTCCCGGCTGCTCTGCAGATGGCCCTGGAGGAGGACGTGGAGTACCGGCAAGGGCTTCCTATGGACTACCTGAGGTACATGGGGGTCGCCAATTCGGATGCAGTCGACGCTCGCCGAACAGCCTTCATGGAGAAGGTCCAGAGCCTGATAAAGAAACTCGTTGACTACGCACCCATTGATGCTGCTGTGGATCAGAGAGCCAAGTCATTTCTTCACGACTGCCTTCCCCCGGTGCTTACACAAAGTGAAAAGGTGCAGAGTGTGTACGGCTTCCCGGCCCGCTGGCAAGATGGAGGACCCTGCGATGTCGATATACAGATAACAAAAGACACAGAAGTACGTCTTCTCCGCCATGGCATCATTAGATTGTGTAATGAAGAAGCAGGTGTGATGCTGTATTACACGACAGAGAATTCAAGGGTGTATCACAAGGAGGAACCCAAGTTCCTTGAGATAGATCCTGAGTATACAGACAGTATTGAATTTCTCCTGTCCTCCTATCCAAACCACGTCCGTGTGGAGACCCTTCCATGTGAAACCTTGGAGGACAAGATTTCTCTAGCCACGCTCCTGTTTGAGAAAGGCATTCTGACTACAAAGAAGCCTCTGGTGCAAGTGTAACTCATATTTTTTAACAAAATAAACATACATTTGTTTTCAAAGTGATCTGTCTTGTTCTTGCCTTACACGTGCTAGGTGTAAATCAGCAGTCTGGATCACAGTATCTCATCTGGGGGCAGAAGGGCTTTGGTGTGGGTAGAGAAATCAAATGTTGATTAAAACGGGTATCCGCTCTAGGAGCGATTCTGCATGGCTGAGTGACTGCAGAAGGGAAGTGCTTAATTTTTTTTTTTTCCTTTCGCCAGCCATATTACTACACCCTAGGTAACTTCTGGAAGCTAGTGAACTTTTTTGCAGTCTGTAAATCGTCTGTGTTTACACAGTCTTTGAAAGCAGCCTGTCTTACTGCGGGAAGTACTTTCATTACTCACAGGCAAATTTGGTGATGGTCACCATTCTGTGTGCCTGTGCTGTGCTGCACATACAGCATAGCCTTCAGGCCTGTGCTGTGCTGCAGAGATCCCTTGGCCACAGGAAAAACTTGGCCAACTCTTCTGAAAAGTGGAGCCTACAGGCAGCTCCCACTCGGTGCCAGTGATTATACCACCTGCATGGCCCTGCCCTTATCGAACAGTGCAGCAAGATGTTCTCATGCAAACTCTTATTTGAAATGCTTCAGGCTCTGTCTCTTCTTTTTCAGTCTGATAATTGAGAGCTGTCTTAGTGATAGAATAACCTTCCCCGCTGGTTTTTCTGCAGCAGCACCTAGCAAGGAAATTGCTGGTCCTTTCAAGGCAAATGGGGCACCCACTAATATGGGGGTTTTCAGGCTGGGTGAGAAAATTTTCATACCGAGACCTAACAAGTTAAATGAATACACACCTGGCTGTGTGGCCAGTTCCTGTAAATACTGACAAGCCTCAGATATACTTTTCCACAACGGTGTTTTATTGTCGCAGTCAGCAGGTGAGGGATATTCTGTCTTTAAAGCCTCCTGAAGCCATACCCACAAGGAGTGGGCTGTATTACCCTGCGTTCCTCTGAGCTGCTGGGTTATCAGAGTTGTGAGATGGCACTCACATGCTCTAATTGTTTAGGATTTAAGTGTGTGCTATCTCCTCCGAAGTCCCATACTTGCAACAGCCAGTGTGCCAGCCTTTCTGCCCTCTTTTGCCTGTATGCTGTTGCTAAATCTTGAAACTGGAGCTGTGTAAAATCGCACACCACAGGAGCATGCTGAGGTGCCCCTGGGGGCCCCTTTGCTTTATGAATCACTAGTGGCTGGGCAGAAGCGCTGTTGCTGAACTCATCATCTTGACCCCTCTGTCTGCTCGTCCTCACCAGATGATCAGGGGACCTCGTCCCAGGATTCATCCCCCTGGCAAATAGCTCGTGCCTCGCTGGTGCCCTTCCTGGGCTGCTCCGTGTGCCCCCCTTGCGACCACAGGCACCTGCACCATGGCTGCCTGCGCTGCGGGCACTTGCAGAGGAGGTGGCTGCACCAGATGCTTGCACCGTGGGCAGCTGTACGGCAGGTGCCTGAACTGCAGCTTGCTGCTTGGGGGCAGTGGTGCAGAGCTGCACCAGTAGCTCATGCAGCTCTTTCTGCATTGGCTGTAAGCACCCCAATGGCTGTTTCAAGCACGTTAATAACAACCAAAGGTGGCACAAATTCTTAGCTTTTCCTTTCCCTGGCCTCTGTTTTCTAAGACAGCATAGTACTTCAGCTGGGCTGGGGCATTCTGATAATTCCTCCTCAGTTTCTAAATCCACTGGGGAAACTGCCTGGGCTAAACACTTTGCAAATACCCCTCACGGATTTGTGCAGGGCCAGCCAGGCACAGAGTTTCTTTTCTTCTTTGTTCTTTATCCAGAAAGGCATTTCTCACTGAGACCTACCGACTGTGCCAATGTTTTGCACTAGGAGGTGCTGGTCCATTATGATCCCAGTCAGAAAGGCATTCGCATTCTATAAGGTGTCATTAAAAATGCTATTTATTAGAGCTAACACTCAAAGAAAAGAATAGCATAGATAATCTTACATCCCTTTAGATGCTGGGAACCTTGAGCAGTGTAGCATGTAACAGGACTCTGACCCACATGCAGCATGCCATGCTGACATGGTCCATAGCAGAGATTCTCCCCTTCTGGTCTTTCAAGGTATCGTAAGATTTTTATATAAGGAAACAGCTCTATTTATCATGTCTACAGTCAAATAGAAACAACGTTCGTATGAGAATGTCTTGCTGCACTGTTCGATAAAGGCAAGGCCATGCAGGTGGCATAATCACAGGTACTGGGTGGGAGCTGCCTGCAGGTTCCTCTGTAAGAAAGAGCTGGCTCAATTTCTCCTGCGGCCAGGGGATCTGTGCAGCACAGCCCAGACCCGAAAGCCACACCATACATGCAGCGCGGCACAGCGCAGGCCTGGGCGTGCTCAGGTTAACTCTGTTGTGGGTCACTAACTGCTTGGTGTACAATGGTCTTCCCTTCAGGATCACTACGCTGACTTCCACTGAGAAAAATGGTGAGATGCCTAAATATGCTGGAGGATTTCAGACCTAGCGACAAACTGATCTCTCAGTTTCAGAATAAGAAAGCAATTTATCTGCTTCATGCTTTGTTCCCTATGTAAAAATAGGAATGCATTTTCCGTGCACGTTTGAATTAATAATAATAATAATAATAATAATAATGGAATATGCAATGCATAATAATGCTACAAATACACTTGCAATAGCAATACTTCACCCTTCTCTAATGTCCTCCAGTCCTGAAGATCTCCATATTTCTTAAGGATCAATACTTTTCAATTTGCAACCCAAGGCAAGGTAAAAAACTGTGATTACCCTTCTTTTATGGACAATGGCTAGCAAGGAACTACCGGTCAGACTGCTGGGAACCAGCTCTTCTTGCTGGATGAGGTGTTCGTCTTCTGTGCCTTGGGTTCGTCTCCCCTTCAGCAGTGTGTGCTCTGACTGGGGGCCTCTTCTTTTTAACCAGGATGCCTTGGTCATCCTGCAAGCTCTTCTGCTTGATTTATAGTCAGCACAATCTTCCTTCAGAAGAACGCGGTACCCTTCTTGCTTCGGAATTACGGGGCGAAAATGGGACCAAGAACGGAACGGGTACGGCCCGGCCCAGGGTCTCTGCTGGCGGGCGGGAGCCCCTGCGCCGCCCGGCCTGCCCCACCTCTGTGCGGTTGGTCGCACACAGGCCCTTCCCTGTCCCGACAGCGAATCCCGACCGCGACTCCGCTCGGCGGCTCGCCAACCCCTCCGCCCGCAGCTGCCGCCCGGCCCTGGGGAGCTCGGGGGGGGGACGACGACACACCGAGGAGCAGCTCCCCGGGGCCGAGACGGGCCTTGGCCGAGAAGGCCCGGGCAGCCGGGGAGGGGAGGGAGGGAAGGCAGGGGAGGGGGCAGGCAGGCAGGCGGGGCGAGGGAGCTGCCGTTCCGCTCCTCCCCGCCGGGGCGAGCGCAGTTCGGAGCCGGTCGCGCGGGGACCCGTCCCGGGATCCGCCTCCAGCGGTGGACGGGACTCGAGGTCATGTCCCAGGCGACAGCCCGCTCCCTGCGCCGGGCGGTCTCCCGCGGCTGGCAGCAGCGGCTGCCCTGGCCCAGCCCC